ACATCCTTGAGGAACGCCTGATTCTCGGCATTGCTATGCGAACGTTCCTGATTCTGTTGACGCGTTAGATCCTCCTGCGTTTGTCGAGGGCCCGCATGCTTAATGAGAGGCGTACGCTCGACGAGTCCCTTGCGGCTGGGAAAAGGATCAAAGTTGATGCCCGCCTTATTCTTGGGCGAGGATGCATTTGTCGGCTTATGCTGCACTGCCGCCTGCTTCTGTTGATTCTCTGTTGGGTGGCATAAATACACAAATTAATTGGATTGAAATTAACTGGAGCTAAAAAGAAAACATACTCTTGCCAAACATGCCCGAGAACATGGTTGTTGTAGAGGAGGCCAATCCATTGAAGTCGGTGCCAATGGAGGAGAAGAAATTGTTGCCTCCGCCAGCTTGTTGCACCTGCTTCTGTGTGGCCAGCTGTGAGCTGGTCATGGAGGGTGCATTGCCAGTGCCAGCCACTGCCTGGCCATGTTCGTCAATCTTGATGATGCCCTTCTTGGTGGCCGCCTCCTTGGCCGTCTTGGTTAGATCACCCAGAGTCGACTTGCCCACATAGGTGAGATCCTCCAAAGTGTTTTTGCTAACGCCAGCTGCCTGCTTGGACACCTCCAGCGCCTGCTTGGAGGCCTCACCTGCCGCCTTCTTCGCATGCAGCGTGAACTGTGGACAGCATAGCAAATCAAATTTAGTTATCGATCCATTTGAGTACGACAAGCGATTACTTCAGTGCTAATACAAAACAACAGCGCAGAGTGCAGGTTAATGGCAGCCAAGGCAACTATGTTAAATACTGAGGATGAGACTATATGGGTTAGCTACAAGGAGCTTCAGGGTCATCAGCTAACTATTTCCCACAGGCCGTAAGCAATAGCTTCAGCGAAGCTAATGGGGTCAATGGTTAATCTTATATGAAATATCATATTCAAATATTTTTTGAGTAGGTTAGATTAGTTAGTAATGTTATCAAACAAGCGCGTTAATAACTAATCTAACCCATTATTAGTTAGAAGGGGTCATATAATCGGCCAGTTGGGCAGATTATCAGACAGGAGGCACCACAACTAAATTGAACTAGACTGTGAATACTTCAAGCATGGACATGAGCATAGATGTTATCAAGGAAGCGAGCTATCGATGCGATTGTCGTGTGTATCTGTGTGTGTGTGTGTGTGTGTGTGTGTGTGTGTGTGTGTGTGCGTGTTAATGAAAACTGTATATGGGTTATGTGACATGTGAGTGGCTGGGTACCAACCTTTTCGAAGGTGTGTCGCATTTTGTCATCTAGATCTTCGTCCAGTGCATGCTATACTTAGTTACACATTCGTTAACACGAAGTAGACACAAAGAACGTGCGATTTGAGTTTATCGATATCGATGACAAACGTACCGTTTGCATTTTCATATAATCAAATATCGATTATCATATAGTCAAAGAGTAAAAATTGTAAAAGAAAATTAAATAAATAAATAAAACATGAACCACAAAGAGCACAACAACACATTGAGTTCCACAATGGATGCACAATATACAAAAATATACCAAAACTTTATCAAGCATTCAACTCACCTTGTCCACGTGGGCGAGCAGACCCTCCTGGCTGCTCTGACGCGTCGTCTCGCGCACCAGCTCCTTGGCATGGGAGGCAAAGTTCTCGAACAGCGAACTCTGCGAGCTCTGGCGACCCGGACTACTGGAACTGGAACCGGAACTGCCAGTACGAGCCAGGATATTGCTAACACCCGGCTGCTTGACGGGCGGTGTGAGCGGCGGCTGAAAGGATTATATATGTTCATTAACTTTATATCATGATTATAGTTTCCAAGTTTGTCAGATGTACGACCTAGTCAAACGATTCCTTCTCTCTCTCTCTCTCGCTCACACACACACACTTACCGGTATCTTTTTCTCCGCACGCTCCAAATCGCTGGTATTACGCTGCAATTTGTTGCTGGCTATGCTCTTGCCGGTCACCGTGGAGGTTGTATCCGATTCCGCCTCCAGACTGGCCATCTTGATGGTCGCCTCGAGTCGCATAGCCAGTGGTGTGGCCAGCTCAAAGGCGCCCGGTGCAGCTGTCGTTGGCTGCTGGCCCGACTTGGGCTGGAAGTCAAACTCCGAGTCACGATTGAAGCTGGGCGAACTCAAGTCCGAGCGACTAGATGAGGAAGACACTGGCGAATCGGCTCGCTCTTCATCGTTCTTGCTTTTCGCAGGTCCGGCCAGACCCTCCGGATACTGCAGCTTGCTGGGCGGATGATAAACGAGAGCCGGATCCAGATTTGAGGATAACGTTTGCGGCACGACATGCGGCCGATTGTAGGAGCCGAATACGTCGTGTAGACTGGGCGACAGATCCGAGGACGCCATCTCGGAGACGAAATCGCTTAACGAACTATACGAGGAGCTGCTGCTGTCGGCACCCTCCGAGTCCGAGCCGCTCTCATCCGTGGGCTGGCACTCGAGCTGTTTGAGAGAGCGCAGCGCGCCATTCAACGAGCTGCCATCGTCCCACACGGAGAAGCGTATGGGCGTTAGACTGTGGGCGAACCACTTGGGCTTATCGCCCACCTGCATGGGATCCATGACACCCGTCTGCACGCGCAGGAAGGCAACATTTGTGGGAGTTAGCGACCATTCCGCCAGGAACTCAACGGCCTGCGTGCGTGCAAACTGATTGAGGAAGATCGAGGCACGCGGACGTGAACGTAGAAAGCTATTGATTTGGAAGGCGACAACGGGCCGAGGATATAGGCGCAGCGTGCGCGTATGCTCAGCGAAGTTAGCCAACGTATTCTGGGCATTGAAGAACCGGACCATTGCCACACGTGTGGCCACATCCACCGAATCCACATCGGTGCCATAGACAAACGGATTCAGGGCTGGCGAATTCATTGGACTAGGCTGACGGGACAGCATGGCGCCCTGGGCAGACACCGAATTACGCTGGCTGGCATGGGCGGAGTGCGGAGGTGTTTGCAAAGGCAAACGCACTTGGGAAACCCTAAACGAAAGACGAGGATGAAGAAACTCAATAGATGTACATATATATATATATATATATATATATATATGTATATATTTGAATGACTTACCCCAATAACGGCGGCTCCTGGAGACTATCCCGCACCGAGGGCAGCAGCTGCTGGGATGAGACAGCCTGATTGGAGGCTGTCATCGATGTCAAAGCCTGTGACGAGTAATCAAAGCAGTCGATTTAGTGAGCTCAACTAAGATAGGAAGACATTTTGGCTGCAAACTTAAAATTGGCTAACTATAAGAAGGATTACAGCGATAGGGTGGGTAGGTCCTTTGGGAGTAGCTAGTTACAAGATCTATCTATATATATATACATATACAAATATATAGAGAGTTAATATTATAATTAAACTTTTCTCAAGAAGCATGCACACAGCAGAAGACGAGAAGAAACACTCCAGAGAGTTAGAGATAAGAGAGAATGAGACTTTATACTGTTATAATGAGGATCCGATTAAGGCTCAATGATAGAGTTGAAGATTTGTAGAAGAGAGTGTGAGCATATATAGATGTATATGGATATTTCTATAAAATAAATCAAATCAAAGATCTCCAAACTAAATAATTTCTAGAAATATCCATATGGGTCTATTATTATATAATTAGTTAATGTTGCGAAAGAATAATATTTCTTGGGAATATATGTTAGTCCCTTTTCAGTATAACATATGACTGTATGCATGCATTTGTTTATATGTATGTATATAGATCAGATTAGACAGGTTAGTGGTATAGGTATTGTTTATAGTATAATACAACAATCGACAGCAGTATTATATAGATAGTTATTTGTATGTACAGAACGCATGTAACTCAAATGTTCAATATGAAAATGATAAAATGTTATAAGAAACGTAAAAATGTTATTTAACATATGTGAACGATATTTACACCAAGTCCAGCTTCATCCATAAGTAGCATAGCCTGCAGTAGTAGGTAGTAGTAGTTGTTGTTGTAGTAGTTGTTGTTGTTGTTGTTGTGATCAAGTTTAACAAATTCGTATAACAGTTAATGCATGAATGTTAGAAGTAGAGTAGTACAGCGTATTAGCGAAGTAAAAGCCACAAAACGATAGAGACAAATACAGAGTGGTCGGGACGAAGAGAGAGAAAGAAAGAGAGAGAGAGATAGAGAAATTGAGTGGCAGTGAAGGTGAGAGAGAGAGAGAGACGTAGAGCAATAAGAGTATGAGAATAAATGAGTATAAGAAAAAGACAAAGAAAATTTATGCTCAAATCATATATATGTATGGACTTCTCTGTAAGTGTAACTCCAAGGCGATATAGACAAGTATTATATATAGATATACATATGTTTAGAGCACAATCATACAAAATCGGGTAGAAGAGGCAAAACATATTTAAATAGTACAGTTTATCAACGATTTGAACCGCTGAGCAATCGATATGCGAAATGCAATACATCGCATATCGATAAGGTTTTAATATAGACGATCAAAGCGTTTTCCATTTCAAGATATATGACATCATATATATACACATATACATATGTATATACACAATAGGTTTAAGCGGTTGTGCAGGTTCGAAAAAGTGTGTGTTAACAATCAGATAATAAAATAAGCGACTTTTCTAGTCGCAGATGTCCGACTAGCTAATACCCTGCGCCCACATATGTACATAGATATAGGATACATATACATACATCGCATATTTGATCTTCAAGACCTTAAGACATACAGATTAGGAATATGTACATATCTTACATATTTCCTTCACATCAGGATTATAAACAGATTAAGAAAATATATATATATATATATAAATGGAGGTATATATCAGATACCATATCATAACGGTTAATGAATGCGCCAATTTCAATGGGCGCAGGGCTTTTACATACATCACTTAAAATAAATCGATTTGAATAAAGTATATTCCCTTCCTTAACCATTTGCTCAATTGAGTCTTATGAAAAATCATGCACGACTTTTCTGTCAGTTTTCCGTTTCCCCCGCCCCCATTCAGATCAAATGCATACGTAACATTAGAAATTTTGTTTGTGGTATTGTTTCTTTTCGTCGGAAATAGCCAATTTTCCGATAGTTGAACAAACCAAAACGAGCAGAGCAAAAACAATAAGAAGAAGAAATAGTTACAGATACAGTTGAATATGTCAAGACATAGAATTGCCACCATGTCTACAGCTGAGGGCACATCTCTCCGTAATGCAGAGAGCATACGAAAATTCACCAACTCCATGGATCCGCGCTTGGACCAGCTGGTTGTGTACAGCTCCGTGCTGGAGCATTTGCTGCAACAGAAGCGCCACTTTGAGCAGGAGCGCGACATGGAGCAGCTGCGGCTCGAGCGATTCAGGTGCGAGGGTGCCAAGGATAATCGCATTCGCGTGCAAATGCAGGTGGTGAAAAAGGTGCAGAGCATGCTCCCGAACCTTGTCTTCAAGCTGCGCAACGAGTACGACAAATTCGAGCGCTTTCTGCATAGAGAGAAGGGACTCCGATACATAAATCTTCCTCTTTATGACAAAGGTCTGCAGTTACTGATTTTGTGCAAGAATAATCTGGAGGAAACTTTATAGACATGGTCGCACTCCCGTTTTCGCATACTCCCACGCAAACTCACTCCCCACTGCACGCACACATGGCCAATAATTGGGTTGCCCCAACTCACAACCAACCAGTAGATGTCCCAATGTATTTCAATCCAATCGATTCGGCGAACCCATGTAGGGGCTTACCTGCTTGAGATGATTCTTCAATATAGTGCCCTCCGGTTCGGGCAAGGGAGGTATCTCATCGTAGCCACCCGTTGGTGGTGTCAGCTTGGTAGAATCCAAATCCACAACCCATATGTCATCGGGCAGCCTGCAAGTTAAGGGATGACTATATTCGTTCTGGACACCGGATACTATAGAAGCAATACTCTTAGAGGGTCCTAGAACTACCAGACATTGCCGGGCACTAACATATCTTACCAGGCAGTGCCGGGCACTTCCAGACTCTAATTATATTGGACACTACAAGGCACTACCGGGTACTATCAGGCAAGGATCGACTGTCACTACTTGAATAGCTACGCTTTACCAGACATTACCTGGCACTACCAAGTACCATCAGCTATAGCGACAGCAATCGGGCACTATATCTGGCACTACCAAGCACTTACCTGAAATTCTTTTTATAGATCAGAAAGGAGGCTGGCACACCGATGACAAAGGGCGTGGGCGCGAGCAACAGCTGCTCGGCACAGCTGAGGCATGTGGGCAGCAACGGTATGACTGGGAACATGTACTCCAATGGGTATAGCATTGTTACGAACGCCATTACCGACATGGAGAGTGCATTATAGTCGCGCGATTGGAAGAGCACCTTATTCTCCAGCATTATCAGTGTCCACACCTTCAGGCAGGTCTCCACGCCCAGCAATTCCAATGGCAAGTGCAACGGAAAGTCAACGAGCGAAAAGCGCGTGTGATCCGGCAATGCAAAAAGCAACGGTTCGTGTACAGTGGGCGACAGCACCTCCACCTACAAGGAGATAAGAAAACACATGAATTAATAGCAAGCCCAATAGATAATTGTAGTGACTATTGTTAAACACGTAGTGAGTGCTCTGTAAACAGATATTTTATGTCAAAAATAGAGAAACGACCACATTTCAGTCGACTTGCGTATTGAATAGCTCAAAGGTATAGATCTAGTAAAAATAGATCTAGCTAGAGGCTTTAAGGACTACAATCAGACAGTTCTATTGTTTCTCTATCTATCTATCTATCTATCTATCTATCTATCTATCTATCTCTATCTCTATCTATATCTCTTGTTCTATCGACCTCAATCATCCGAACATTGATATTTACCTCGACACGCGTAGAGCCTGGCACCGGCACCGGCGTAGAGAGTAAACGTAATATCCACGTCTCGATCTCCCGCACATCGTGCAGCACAATGGAGGGTGTCGCCTCGCTGACGTGCCCCGTCAGCACCGTCCACACATTGTCCCGATTGAGTTTCTGTGAGGCGCCCACACGCTTCGGCGACGACGACTCGTTGCAGGCGTCGATGAGCTTCTTCAGAATGAAGAGGCACTCGCGAAAGGTGGTGAAGAATGGATGATGTGATATGATGCAGAGGGATGTTAGCGATTGATTGCGCAGTTTGGTGCGCTTACGTGACGCCCGTGGCGATGGTGAATGACTGCCGCCCGATTCCGAGTCTGCCGATGGCGCCATCAGGCCCAGTTTGGGCACTGAGGAGGCTGGATGATGATGCGAATGTAGGCGCAACTGGTCAGAGTCGCGGCGCGAGGTCAGTTCACGATCCGAATCACTGGGCGCTACGTTACTTCTGTAGTCGCTAGAAGTAGTTAAGAGGCCGTAACTATTATGGAAGTGGTTTGAAAATCGGTTAGATCATAAAAGCCAAAAGCGTATATATAGCCAACCAGCATTAGCAGCAGCACCCCGCCGCCTGTCTGCCTGCGCTGCGCACACACTTGCCTGCTAAACGCCGAGTCGGAGCTGCGCTCCATGCTCTTCCGCCACGACTCTCGCCGGAAGGCGGATGAGCGCCGGCCACGCCCACCGCCACCAGCACCACCACCAGCGCCAGCACCATGCCCACCCCCAGCACCATTGCCAGCCGCACCGCCACGCTCAGCGCCCGCCCCCGAGCAAGGTCGCTCGATGGGCCTGTAGAAATTGACGCAGATCCCGTAGCGCGTCTTGCCCGAATCCTTGTCCGTCAGCGCAAACACAAACGAGGTCATGTCCCGTATGGCGGAGCCAGTGCGTCTTGGTCCCACGCTGGTGCAGCCTTCCGGCTGGCAAAAGTACACCATGTCCAGTGGCAGCGGAAAATCCGCATGATCCGACGGCGGATAGCGACGCAGCAAGTCGGGCACCTAAACAGCAGACAGAGAATAGATCAGATTACTCTAGTGGGAGTGGAAACTAGTTATAGATGCCCTACATTGCGCTCAAGCTGTGAACTGGATTTATTTCATATATGTAGAGCTGATTTGTAGGATATAAGCTATTCAAGGACCAGGTCTATAGGTCTTAGAGTCTTTAAAATATGACCGGTAAGCATAAGCTACATATTTTAATGATAATAGTAACAGTTGAATCTCTGATTAAAATTTAGAAATACGAGAGAAGGACTAAGGGACTTATAAAATAATTATTTATACTTATAAGAAATTGAAATTATCGGAGCGAATTTCTTTCAAGGCTATAATCGAGCCTCGCTATTTCGTAGCCCGCCTAATCGAAAATCGCCAAAAATTCTATCCCCTTGAAAGAAATTCGCTCCGATAATTTCAATTTATGTGTAAATTGAAAAAAGAAAAAATAAAAATGTTTCCCTTGCCACTTCGAACTATCGGGATTCTACTGTATATATAAATTTCTTTAGTATTTCTTACGATAGTCTATATAAACAAAAGATATATACAAAATTTAATTTAATTTAATTTAATTTGTTTAATTTGTTTATGAAAATCTGCAAATCAAATTTCGTATGCGTAGCGCTGAAAGCTCTGAGAGATTTGAGCCACGGGCTAGGTAATTGGCTTCAATAAAAATAAAAGCACAATATTTGCTTTGGGCACACACACACACACACACACACACACACACACACACACATCAAATTAGTCTGCGCCAGGTATTGCTCAGTTCTCTACTTTTGATTTTGATAAAGTGCGCAACATAGAGACGCTATCGATGGCTGCAGCGTTACGTGAACATTATGATATTCAAATGAGTGTTGAGGGTATAATAAGTCATAAATTATGCACCCTTGAGAGCAGCTAGATATGTATGTATGTATGTATGTATAATCAACAGACTCACCTGCACCGGCGGCGCCTTGCTGCCCTGCATGCCCTTGGGCATTGGCGGCGTTGTGTGGGCACCCACAATGGCCATGTAGTCGACGAGGCGCGGGCATAATGAGGCGCGCTGTTGATCCGACATTTTGGGTATACTCACTACGCACTACCCTCGCTCGCTGGGATTCTGGAAGTACGAAAGAAGTCACAAGATGAAATCAAAGATAAACAACATGAGCAATTAGTGTGTTTGTGTGTGTGTGTGTGTGTGTGTGTGTGGGTGGGTGGCTGGAGGGGGGTGGGGAGCAGAGTAGGCAAGGCCGTAATCCATTAGCCACAACGCGTAATCAAGTTAAGCTACACACAAGGCTGCCTTACACTAAGCCGTAAATTCAATTTACCGCTCAACGCAAGCGCATGTTAGCAATTAGGGCTTAAAGGCAGGCTCTCTGTGCCGTTGCAACATGTCCTTGGGTGTGTAAATGCTGGTCGGGGTCGGGCAGCTGAGGAGTTTTCATAGAAAATATAATGAAATTAAGTTGCCTCAAATGAAAACTTGCGGAATAAACAAGTGAACTTGGTTTACAAATTGTATGAGATATGCATATGATATGAAGTATTTTGATACACCTATATTAAACATATTTAAAATTCTACATATCAATTAGCATATTATCAAATTTTAATAGTCTTTAATCTCGGAATAAACAAGTGAACTTGGTTAGCCAAAAATATCCTCGAGCTGCGAATTTACAAATTTCTTGTATGAGCTATGCATATGATATGAGATACTTTGGATAGACCTATTTTAAAAGTCGTAGGAATTTAAAAATCTACATATCAATTAGCATATTAACAATTATCAATCAAAATTTTCCTTAATCTCTGTCAATCCCTAATCTCTGCCAATACTGACAAATAGGGACATACCTGAAGATCAAAATGGTTCGTGCCAAGTCAATCTAAAGGAGAACTCAAGACCTCAAAGATGCAGACCCGAGCACAACAGATATAGAGCAGGCACTACGTGCTCCCGACTCTCGAAACATTTGACTAACGGTACATCACGCATTCTTATCTACCTTAACTGTAAGAAATAGCTACTTGTATCATTTTTATTACTATCATAAAGATCATCATTATCTATTTGATATCCACTGTCATTATCTTTATATCTCTCGCTACTATCATTATCATCAATATCATAAGCTCGACTATGTTTGTCATTATATTTGTATTTATCAATATATCTATCTTTCATCAGTACTATCCCAATGATAATTTTGATAAGCATGAGCATCTTCAATATTATATCATCCACATTTTCATTATCTTACTCATTAGAATTATCACTTCTATCATCATTATTATTATTCTTATTGCCATTAAGCACTCGCTGCTTCACTCGGCCAGATAATCCGCCCATTAAACTGTAAAACAAATTGCTCAGCCATAAAGTCCATATTCCGAAAACTTATCCGTAAAATCCATCCATTCACTTAAACTGTTTGAAGTTTTAAGTGCATCAGATGGGAAGCTTTCAATTAAATCTCTTATAATTGCAATGCAAAAGCCAGCGAAGGCGCGAAATTGAAAACCGACGGCTTGACATTTCCCCCCAATTACTGCATCGGTTGATGGGATTTTCCTTAATAACGCAATGCAAGACGATACTTAAATTGTACTAAACGAGAGAACGAGAGTGAGAGAGAGTGAGAGAGAGAGAGAGGAAGACTGTGGAATGTAGCAGGGAGATAAATGTGCGTCAATCGGGTTTCTAGGAAAATAGAAAACGGAAAACTTTGACGCGCAAAAGCCTAGGCAAAGCCAAAGGAAATTTG